ATACATTCCATTCTAAAAACTAAAAATTATGATGAAACATTATTTATTCAAGTCATATAATTACACTTTATAGCATTCTATTCTAAAGGATAATTTATCTCATAAAATATATTTAGTTGGTTGGTCAAACTGCTCATCTTTGTTCTTTTATATTTTTTTAGGTTATGGATTCTAGACTCAGTATGAACACTTTAATTAATTTTCCTAGAGTTTCCTCTTTCTCACCCTTCTAAATATGATTAAAATTATATTTAAAATTTATAAACAGTTATTATTTGTAAGAAACTATACAATTAAATATTTATCTTATATTTTCTCTAGTTTTTTATTCTTTATTTATTTTTTGGTAACAAGAAGATCACTGTGTTAACAGTGTACTAGGCTAGGTGTTACACCAGCTCTATCTGTTCTAAGAATTTCCTGCATATCCCTCTGAGGCTGATGAAACCACGGCAAACCGATAGGGCCATTCCTCCCCATATGAGCCAGTGCATCAGCAAGCTTACTTGCTTCGCGATTAATGTGATTGAACTTGACATTCCAGCATCTGTCGATGAGCCTACGAATCCGACAAATAATGGACCCGTCATAGGCATGAGATGTGGAGTTTATTCTTGTCACCACCTAGCTATTATCTACTTCCACAACAATATTCCTAACGCATTGATTCCAAGCGACGGTTAAACCATCGACGTCGGTGTTTTTTCCGGGAGATGGAGTCGTTGTGTACAGCCCCAAAGGAGATGTGATGTTGAGGTTCGATTCTTACTACGGCCACCGGCAACTGTCTCCTCACCCCGGCAACTGTCTCCTCACCCATATCCCCAAGGTCAGTTTCTTCATCCAACTTCATTTTCCTTTTGCATAACTCAAACTAAGAAATTACTAACATATAATTATCTCATATATTATAAAACTGATTTAAGGAGAAAAATCACAAAATTTTAAAATATAAGAGCATATTTATATCTCCGTCGCTTTCAAGAATCTTGTTATGTTTTATTTTCTATGATTTTTTTAAAAAATAAATATTTATTATTTTAAATTTATTATTGATAGATTTTTTAAAAGATTTTTTAAAAGCATATCATTTAAATTTTCGCTAAAATACACAAATAATCCTCCGACTATTTAATGATATTTTTCTGAGTCCATCGATTATTAAGAGTTATAAAATAGTCACCTGATTATAGGTGTTGTTTTGTTGAGTCCATCGACTATTAAAAATTATAAAATGGTCACCCAACTATTTAATCTATTACAAACTTGTCATTTTTCGTTAAAAATTTGATAACAGTGATGTTAACCTTTTAACTGAGATATGATAATTCTTTTAAATTTTAAGATAGGATTTTATCATATCTCAGTCAACAAATTAATATCCAGGTCACACTGTCGTTAACTTTTAACGTAAAAAAATCAGTTTATAACACACTAAATAGTCTGATGATCATTTTGTAACTTTAAATACTTGGGGATTCAACAAAATAATATCCTATAATCAGATGACTATTTATAATTTTTAATAGTCGATGTACTCAAAAAAATCATCGTATAGTTGAGGGACTACATGTGCACTTTACCCTTAATTTTGTAATGAGGTTTGATATTAGAAATATCGACACAAATTTGATTGAAAAATTACATTAAATCAAATTTATATAATTTATTTAATAATATTTTAAGTTGATTTTGTCATTTAGAATTAATATGTAAAATCTTTAACTTTTCAAAGTATCATTAAATGTTAAACCAATTAAATTATTTCATTTAGAATAAACTACTTAAATCAAAGACTATCCTATTCAACCAACATTACCACTTAAAAAAACAATTATAATTTATTTTTGACTTAATTACACCACATCTGCAAATTATAGTTATCATTTTAAATTGGTCTTCAATTTTTTTTTTTTTTGAATATTCTAGTTTTAGTTTTAAGTTATGTCTTTCATTTTAAATTAGTCTTCAAACTTTTGAACACTCTAATATTATTCTCAAACTGTGGCCCTCATTTTAAATTAATCCTCAAACTTTTGAATCTTCAAATTTCATCCCCAAATTTGTTCAAATATATAATTAATTTCAACCATAGTTTATGATTGACCCTATGTTTTTATCTCTTTTCAACAATATAATAATATAGCTTAACTTAACGGCTTCACTAACATGATATGTGACTAACTTATATCTGTAGTTTGGGATGAAATTGAAATGTTAAAAAATTTGGGGATAAATTTAGAATAAGAGGTATAGTTTAAAGATGAAACTGAAATGTTCAAAAGTTTGAGGACTACTTGAACCACTTTCCTAAAGTTTGTTTTCTTCATCGAATAGCGCCCTACCTTACCACTTTACTAGTAAGGGAATTAATTTAGAATGAGAGTCGTTGTTTAAAGATAAAACATAAATATTCAAAATTTTAGTGACAAATTCAAAATGAGAATCATAATTTAAGAATGTATGATACAATTAAATTTTTATTTTTATATAATTTTTCCATTCACCCACTTTTGAGAATATTAGGGGTGTGATTTGAGAATGTTAGGAGTGTAAGCGTTCAATGTTAAATTTATATAAAATTGTTGTTTTTCCTTGAAATATCTTGCTCAATCATTATGAATGTTAGGGGTATGAGTGTTTAATGTTAAATGGTTGAAAATTATCTTTGAACATTTATTACTTTATACTTACTCCAAATTAATAAAAAATGTATATTTGCACATCTGATAATTATTTAATTAAATTTTATTTGGTTTTCTCTTATGAAATGCAATTAAAAAATATAATTAAGCTAATCAACATTGATTTACTGTTTGGTAAAACTCAGAAGCCAAGGTGGCGTTTGGTTCGCTGGAATGTTTATGAGGGAATTGGAATCTGTGAATGAATTGGAATCTGTCAGGAATTGGAATCCAATTCCATATTTTGTTTTGTTGGCAGGAAATTGAATTGGAATCCAATTCCATATTCTGTTTGGTTCATAGACATGTCAGATGAATTTGATTTTAGACATGTCAGATATGAATTTGATTTCAGTAATGTAAAATGACAGGATTGCCCTTCTTATTTTTTTTTACTTAATTTTAGTTTGTTTAATAAATTACATGTAGCAATATATTATAAAAATTTAAAAAATATTAAATTTTAATTTTATTGATTGATTATTCATTTCAATAAATTATAAAAATCATGTTAATAAACATCATAAGTTAAAATCATCCCAATTAGGGATGGACATGGGTCGGGTTTTTGGTCCACCCGACCCGAGAACAAGGGAACCTCCATCCGAGACCCAACTCGACCAAAATAAAGTTTCACCCGACCCGACTTGAAATAATAAAAAAATTATTTTTATTCAATAAAAACAGTGACTTAATTGAAAAAAAATTATATATAGAGGGGTATTATTGTAATTATTCCTAAATATATAAGATAAAATTATATATTTTTTGGGTCGGGTCGGGTATTTTTCACCCTAAACCTAACCCGACCAAAATAAAGTTTCACCCGACCCGACCCGACCCGAAATAATAAAAAAAATTATTTTTATTCAATAAAAATAATGACTTAATTAAAAAAAAATTATATAGAGAGGGGTATTATTGTAATTATTCCTAAATATATAAGGTAAAATTATATATGTTTTGGGTTGGGTTGGGTTGGGTCGGGTCGGATATTTTTCACCCTAAACCTGAACTCGACCAACCCGAATATCACACTTAAAAAAACTGACCCGACCCGAATATATGAATTAGAAACCCGACCCGAAATAATAAAAAAATATTTTTATTCAATATATAAATAAATTACCAAAAGATTGATGAGGGTAGTATAATCGAATTCAATTCCCTTGATTTCAATTCCCTCCAACAAGGGAATTGAATTCCATCGTAGAATAGATAAAATTCACTTTAACTCATTTGATGGAAAGTTGAAGTCATGAGGGATTTCAATTCCCTTTGAAAACTTGAACCAAACATAGAAAAATAATAGAATTAGATTCTAATTCCCTCTAATTCGAAGTAGTCATGCGAACCGAACTCCACCCAAGTCTCCATCAAAGGTGGGAAGGATTCCTAGGGGGAGAAAAGGGAAAAAGAAAGCCCGATTTTCTGTGTCCGTCGATCATCCATCATCGGACGGTCAAGTGTTGTGGTTGACGTTACGGTGATCCAGGCGACGAGTGCCATATCGACAGCTCGTATCGCAAACGTTGCTGTGCAATCTACAGCACTTCTTTGAGATCAAAAGAAAAGTGGACCCCTCCACTCACGTGATGTTGGGCAAAGATGTCTTCTTGCTTTGTCTTAGGCCGGGGTTCGACGGTGCGTTTGCAATGGCACTGATCCTCGTTCTTGATCAGATGTTTGATGATGGTGATATTGACGACGATGATGAGAATCCGGATCCTATCCATGCTGCACAGGATTCATCCTCTTAATATTATTTTTGCAAAAATGTCGTTAATATTATACTTTTTTAGGCCGAATAACTACTTAATTATAAAATCTTTTAATTTTATCAATTAGACCACTTAAACTATTTACATTATGTCAATCAAGTTTTCTAATGTACCTTTGACAGAAAAAATGATATAATAGTTAATAAAATTATATATTTAATCCATAATACTTACATATTTTATCAATTTAATTCTAATTTAATAATTTAATCTTTTAATCAAATGTCGGCACATGTTAGCTTCTTTCTTTAAATTGGTTGAAATGATAACTTTCATTATGAATCTCTATAATATCCGGTTTAAATTAATTGACCATACTAATGATTATAAAGGAAACCTACCTTAAGCATAACCCACAATGTTATATATATATTTTTTCGTACAATTTTTACTTAGGAGGAGGAAGTAAACTTTTACTCCTAATGAACCATCAACCTAAAGAAGAATAGATGTGATAACTGAGAGTTTAACCACATGAGATTGTTGACTGTATTATAATTATATTATATGCTAACAAAAGTTATAAGAGAGATATATTGAGGCAAAAGAAATGTACATTTGTCTGAGATTTGCAAAGTAATCAGCAACTTCCCATCATGTGTTTTGTAAAGGTACAAAAATCAGGTGTATTGGATTGTTTTATTTAGTATGGCATGAGAAATATATATTTATAACCCTAAAATTATAGAATTTCTGGATTTTGGCTTAGCATCGAATGCAGATGCAAACGCAGAACAGAATGCGCCCCAACAGATAATTCAATCACCGTCTTCAGAATAGAAGCAGTAATGCAGTACTCATTGTTAATATAATGGAGCAGAAGCCAAACCAACCAAAACCTCGAATTTCCTGCAAAATTTCACGTTAAACAACATACGATGAAATAGGATGGTAAAACAACATACTGCAGCAACTTTATGTTTCCAACTGCAATGAAAATAGAAGCTACCCATCGGCCACAAAGATGTACAACTAAATTCGAATCTGGATAGTGGTTCATGCTATCAGGAAATCAATCCGGAGGTATTGTGTATGAATGCAGTACTGGCAAGTAAAACACTACATAAAACATATGGCATTAACATGTTTCTTGTTGAAGTTCGTGTTTCCCATTTAGCATTGGTGCATGTATCGGAATGATTGTTCGGTTGGTAAAACCGGATGTAGAAGATCGAGTGCAAAGGACACTAAATAATTGCACTCGGTGTAAAGAACTCTGGTTGCAGGTAATTTCTGAAAACAGTTGCACTGGTTTGGCCTAGTGATACTAGCATTCCTTATAACAAATTGACCCACCCATGGTTATTCTGTCTGAGAATACACAAATCTAGTGTCAAGGGTGGGAGAAACCTTGTACCTTCAAAGGCGGCAATGATGAATCTGCAGACGAAGATTTAAGACCATGAAACCCGATGTTGTATGAGATGCTCCCATCAGGTTTAAACAGTCCAAAATTCCTCTCAGAAGTTGGCCCAGGCTTCATATTCTCATTAAAGATTGCAAAAACATATGCCTTGACTACATTTTTCGGTCTGAGTGGAGTTCCTTTCATCTTTGCAAGCCTTTTCCGCAAATTGTAATTATATGTCCTTGCATTACTTGCAGTTGCCGCAGCTTCGGTCTCATCTCCATGTGAAGCCCATCCGGTTTCGGTGATGATGATTTCCATCTTTCCAAATCCAGCATTTTCTAACGCAGCATATGCTGCATCAATCTGAGCATCAAGCAGGTTATCATAATGCAACTTAGTTTTTGGATCATCTGTTCCTTCTGTTGGTAGGAAGAGAGCATAATTGATATCAATTTGGTCTTTATTATCCATGTAGGCTAGAAACGGGTAAGCATTTAAACAGAACGGTGAGCCGACTTGCGAAAAAAACTCTAGGAGTGGCTTCATGTACTGAACAACATTATCTTTGAATGCACCTGATGAAGGAGGGAAGGACTCACCAAAAACAGCCTGTGAATGAGCCGTGGTAACCTGAACCACGTGACTTAATTTAAGCTTATCTAATGCATTGTAAACGTTCTTAACCGCACCCAGAAGAAATCCAGAAAATTCATCGCTCCCTCCTAAGACTTCATTCCCTATAGCGATCCCACGAATCTGCGTATCGGGAAGATATGCCTGCACATTGTCCCTGACCCAATTCATAGCATGATCTGCATTGGCACTCACGTCTCTCAGATTTTCATTCGGGAGTCCAACCACAAGTTCCAGCCCTGTCCCACTAAATGCTTTGATGACACTGTGATCAAAATCATAAATCCGAACATTCTTTATTTTCGCCGCCCTCAGAAGTGTGACGACTTCATGCGGTGAGAGTATGTTGTTTGCAATTCTTCCATAGTTAATGCCATAGGTTCCGGTGAATGCTTGCACAGGAAAAGATGCTGGAGAAAAGATTAAAAAGAAAACAACCTTTTAATCAACCATCAAATGTCTAAGCACAGATGCTTGAAGTCACATAAATGTTACATACTAGTAAAACCATCTCTATGATCAAACTCAAAGTTCTATCAAATAAAATCTCGTATTTTGATGAGACTCGAATCGAAACATTATCCACCAAGCTGATTTCCTACTTACTCTACTAACCCTAACAAGAGAACAATAGCATTCAAATCCCAAATCCAAGCAAAAGAGTAGCCTCTTAGTTGACAACACCTTTACTTTCACCATAGTTTACACTTAACAAAATATAGGAATAACCAAAATCAAGAAATTATGAATCCAATTAAAAAAAAAAGGTGAAGTTTCATTAGAAAAAATACAATACAAACTGATCAAAACAAATAATTCAACAAATTCAAAGATCAACCCAATTCAGACAACATAAAAAACTATCAGAAAACAACCCAAAAACGAATTGATCATAAACCCTTAAAAGGAAAAAGTAAAGGAGAAAGTACCAATTGCAGCAAGAAAGAGCAGGAAGAATAGATGAACCCCAAAACTTTTCATTGCCTTATTATTATTATTATTATTATTATTTTCAAGGAAGAATCAAAGGATCCAACTTTTAGAATAAAAAAATGGAAGAAATTCCTTCAATGCAATGCTATAACACAATAAAGATTCCTCCTTTATACTTCACTTTCCCTCTTTACACCACACCCCCTCCACTCATGCTTTTGTTTTCCACTCTCATACAATCTCAGCTTCGTCTTCTTCTTCAACTAAAACTTGGGTAAATCAGGGAATGGAAGATTGTGAACCGTGGAGTGATTTCAGAACAGAACAAAAGCTTTTTTTTTCTCTCTCTCTCTCTCTCTCTTGTGGAGGTCGTTTTCTGTGGGACTTTGCTAAGAGAGAAGGGTTTAGCCTTGAGCTTTTGACTATTGAGGACAATGCTGGCTGAGCTATGCCCCCTTTAAATGACTAAAATATTTTTTTTAACACGGAAAAAGGAAAAAGGAAAAAGGAAAAAGGAAAAAGGAAAAAGGAAAAAGGAAAAAGGAAAAAGGAAAGATTATTTGGGGTTTTGGTGGGTTAAAGTTGGTGTCTTGCTTTGATTCCTTTGTCATTGGTCAATGCTTACTTGCCATTTCTCAAGTTTTGAGCTTTGGTTTCCTACCCACTCGCTTTTCTCTTAGGCTGTATACAAGCGCCCAATGTGGGAAGATTTTTGTTGGCCTAAGGGTAAACTACTTCTGTAGTCCCTAAACTTTTAAATACCTTGCATTCCTGTCACTGAACTTTTGAAAGTTACATTGGAATCACTGAACGTTTTAAGAAATATATCTATCATCATTATATCTCATATAAATATTAAAATAATATAATATTTAATGACATGAGATAAGTATTTTGTATAAAAATAATTGAGTTTTTAATTTGTTTTAATACAAAAATAAGTGTCTAAGCTATATTGTTTTTCTCAAATTGACACATAAAGTTTTTTTGTAAATACAAGTGTCTAACACTACAAATGTTACTACTTTAGGTGTCTGGTCGATAATGGATGTTAAATTCCACCGTTAAGTGACATGTATTGCGTTCAAGTAATTTTGAAAATTTTATTTAAAATGATAAAACTTAAAGTTATATATTTAAAAAATCAAAATTTATCTTAAAACCTCTCCCAAACTTTTAAAATCTTAAATATAATCCCTATACACACACTAGTCATCGACCTTGTTGTCGTTATAGTAGATCGAACCTCCACCCAATCGCACCTCTACCCTAAACCATTTTCCTAACGGATAGCGACCAGAACAGGAGCCAACGAGAGCTGACAAACCTAAAATCGTGAATATATAACGAAGAATAAAGCTTTAAAATTGTGATATCACGCAACCCTGACGGCCATCTCAAAGACAAAGAAGACTATGACTGACAAGGGAGATGAGAAGGACATCTTCGGTGGTGGCGGCCGTGACCAGTAAGGGGATGGTAAGTTAAGGTTAGGAATTTGAGGTTGATTTTAGAGATTTTCATGACTTTGGATTTTTTAAATCTTATAAAAATTAGGGGTTCTTTTTTTGATTTGATAACATTTTTAAGTTTTTTAAATAAAATTTTTAAAATTATCAGAATGTGACATGTGTCACTTAACAACATTTTTTAACGGTCATAACGGCTGAGACACCTAAAATGGTAATGTTTATAACGTTAGGTACTTAGGTTGACCAAAAAAACTTTAGACACCACTTTAAGAAAAATAATATAATTTGAGCACTTATTTTTATATTAAGTATTTTAATTTTACAAAAAATTAAAAATATCATCACATTTTTTAATTAATCTGAAATGTAAAAATACTCTTAATAAAATTATAAAAAAAAACTCGCGATCATAGTTTTAAATAATAATTCAATGAATTATTATTATTTTATTAAAAAATTATTATTCATTTTGATAACCCAAATTTTATTTTATATGATTCAAAAATATAAAGAGATCTTATTGACATAGTATCTAAAAAATGTCCCTAAAAATTAATTAAATAATCACTTTCATCCTTATTATTATTATTTTTTAGGCGCGTTATCCCCGATGTTCATTTTAAAATAAAATTCTCTTTGTTGGATGAAAAAAACATTAATTGATTAACAGCTAACACTTATTGTTGATGTAGCAAATCTTATGTTTCTAAAACAATGACATGAAACATGTTATGTGTATAAAGTGATGACATGTCATATGCCACATCATCATCTTAGACATATAAAACTTGTCACATCAGTAATAAACATTGGTTTTAATTAACCAATAATTTTCATCCAATTTTATTTTTTTTAATAGCTAAATTGATTACAATGTAATATATGTTAATAATTTTTCTTAATTATTACTAACGCATGCACAACCTATAAATGTAGCTACTCAAATTCAAAATCTTTTGAGATTTAATGTTTAAATTAAAACCACTCAATTAATTCAATTCAAATTTAACGCTTAAATTAAAAGTAATGAAGGAAAAATTATTGTTATCAAAGCATATGGGACAAACATTTATGATATACGTAATATATTATGCAGTTGCTTAAGGAAGTTGGTAATTTGAAAAAGAAAAAGAAGGAAAGTGAATGATTGGAAGACAAAAGAAGGTTGACGTATATATTCAATATAAAGTGGTGAACTTTATACTTTCCATTTTGGATAAGTGGAAGACAAAAAATATTCAGAAATTTTTTTAATTATTGAAAATATAGGTTATGTAGATATAATTATTTTAATTCGAATCTTTAAAAAAATATTTTTTCTATTATTAAATTTGAGTTCAATTGTTAAAGAAATTGGTCTTTAAAAATGCTGCAAAATGCACATCATGATGAAAAGATTCTCACAGTACATGAGGGGGAATTAACCAAACTAGAGACACTAAAAAGGAGGAAAATAAAGGATTTAGGGTGTGTTGTCATAAAGTAAATGAATTTTATAAATAATAAAAGTTTTTTTTAAAATAATTTCTACTTATATAAAGAGAATGAGAATTTTGTTCTTAATGAGTATTGATTCGCAATCTAAATTAAGATGATTACAAGGTACTATATGTTTTAAAGATTATAAATCATTAAACAACTCTATAAACACTGATGCTCGAACTCGAGACCTCTAAGGATAACGACCGTCCATTTAACCACTGCTATAGATTGGTTTGTTAAAAAACACAAGATTTTTAAATATCAAAGTTAAAAATTATGGAAGTAAGGTGGTGTTTATATAGAAATAAAAGAACAACATATTTCATATGAATCGTTAACTAAACAATCAAGTCAGACAAAGATACGTTATATAAAAAATGTCCTTCGTATATATTTTTAGCGTACAACACCTTTTATATATATAACTGAAAAAATATCAATCTGAAAAATTAATGGGAAAAAGATATTAAAATGAATATTATTTTTCGAGAGACGATGTTTGAATAAAAATGAAAAAGATGTGTAGGATCTCAACACGGTTAAGTATCGGAAACCAAAATAAATAAAGATTTTTGGTTTTTATAGGTGGCCTCGAAATGGAGAAATTGGAAGCTTTTTGGGAAATTAAATAAGATGATCCACGCAAGGGAATCTACTTTTTGCCTTTAATTTCTTCTGTGGACTCATAAGTAGGTAAAGTTTAAACAAAAAGTTGACATTCATTATGTGATTTTTTTGTATTATGCTGTGGAAGTTAGACCTATAAACGAATGTAAGATATTACGTTGAAAATGAACTTTTTAAGTTTTAGGAATTGAATTAGTAAATTTTAGAGATAAAAATAAATTATCAATAAAAATATAAAATAAAACTTAAAATATATTTTATTTTAAATTTTATCGAGGGATGATAATCCCAACAACCCCTTGATCTATTCCTGATAATGATGTATGCGTTATTTCGATGCTCAATGGTAAAACATACCCCTTGAGGAAGCTATAGTTTGTGTTTACATGCTTCTATTTGTTTAGTTACTGGTGCTATTAATGCATTTCAGGTTGTTTTTGTGGTACATTGTTTGATGATGGCAGTTGGTTTAAATTGATTTTTATAAAAAAAAAGTGACCATGATGGATCGAGGGGTTGACAGGATAGTCACCTTATCTGAAGATTTAAAATTCTCATATAATTTAAGTATTTTTTTATATATTTTTATTGATAATTTATTTTCATTTCTAAAATTGTTTAAGTTTGTCTCATAACATTAAATCTTATTTCGTCCTGGATTGTGATGATCAGAGCCAGTTAATAGTTGCTTAGGGCCCCTAATTTTTCAATCATACTTTTTATCATTATAATTGATGCCCTTAATTTTTCAATTTTATTTTTTATATTTATAATTGATACTTCTAATTTTTGTAATTTCATTTTTTACCTTTATAGTTAAAGCCTCTGATTTTTTTAATCTCACATTTTACCTTTATAATTGAGACCCTTAATTTTTTTAATATCTATTTCTATCTTTATAATTGAGACACTTAATATTTTAAGGGTAAACTACGCAAATGGTCATTAATATTTGAGTAAGTTTTCGTTTTTACTAATGGTGTTTCAAAAGTCACAAATCGCTTACTAACATTATCGTTTATTACAAATTAGTCACTCGCTGTTAACTGTTGTTAACGAGAGTGACAGAATACACAGCTGAACCATTTAAAACTTACTTGGACTGGGTTGATCGCCACATGAGTTATTAAATTATCAGAATTTCTCTAATGCAGAAGGTGAGAAAGAGGAAGAAAATGAAGCAACAAACCATGGTAAAACAAGGAAGAAGATGAAAGAACAACCCATTCTATTGCTCTCAACTGAAACTTCCATTCCAAGATCACCACAGGCAACCATAAAGGCATCGGTCCTATGTTCTTTGGGTTGTCTTCTTCGTCATAGTCATCATGGAAAGTATGGAAAGAAAATTTATAGATGGGTTCTAAAAGAAAAGTTTGACTTCCCTCTAGATGCCAACTTTATTATCAGAGACTACCAAAATATTGGACCCAACAATTGATGCAACAAGATGATGGAAACATACTTCTATAAAGAGACATCAATTCCCTTATACCCTTGCGCTTTGACCAGTTTGCATAACCCCAATACTGGACCCAACCATGTATTGGAGAATGATTCAAAGTCATCCTATTTTTAGTATTGACTTTTGTGGTTCTATATATTTTCTGATTTTATTGTTATTTACGTGCAGTAGTGGTTCATTTTTTCTGTTAGTTTGTTGCGTTGTCAAGCCTATATAAGGCCTATGTTTGTTACATTCTAAGCATTAAATAAAAGTAGGAAGTTCTATCATCTAAAAGTCCATTCTTTCTTCTTTATTTTTTCTACATTTTTGGCATCTAGAGCTAGGTTCGTTTGTAGCTGGGATTTGTAACAAATGGCGACAAATGGCAATGTCATGAATGTATCTCAAATAT